TCTTTTGGCTGTGGCGGCCACGTTAAAGTGTGCGCTGACGTCACTGCACTCAAAGGGGAAAACAGAACGCAGGCAGAGCTCCGTTTCATTTCACAGCAGCCGAGTCGAGAACAACAGCAGCAACAGCCACCATGTCGGACATCATGCCCTCTGGAGACCTCGGTGAAGGAGAGAAGCCAACCGGGGAGATGATCTTTACAGGTACCCTTCGCTCGATGTTCGCGTTCAAGTGTCTACATTCGCGCAGAGGCGAGTAGCGGCTTCGGCCTTTTGTTCTGACGCTGGAGCTGCTACTCAAATAGACTTCGTAAAGAAGGTGAACGAGATGTTCGGCGAGGCGGTCGAAGGCTTCCGCGTGCTCGACGACGAGGATGCCGCTCTCACCCAGTACCTGCAGGAGGACCTCGCCAAGCAGCAGGAGAAGGGAAGGCAGCTACGCGCCCAGATCGAGAAGGCTCAGTACTCCATCAAACAGTTCATGCGCGCCCTCCCGACAAGCCCCGTCATCGAAGAGTAGAGGTTCGTTTGGCAGATCCTGAACAGTGCGTAGTACTTCGCCCAAGCGTAGAGACCGAAGAAGTCGTTACCCAAGAAGCTTGTTCGTCCACCTCTACAGCGCTATCCCTAAGCTTCTCCGTCTTTCGTCTCAGACTGAACACTAGAGCTTGCTCACACACACGTAGCACCTCACGATCAGAACGCACAAGAAGGCCGTAGCGAGGCTTTCCGACTCAGTCTCGCTTCTGTGGTACCGCCCTAGAGTGTGCGATGAGCACTGTGTTAAGCACAGCAGCTGAAGCCCCAGCTAGGGGGAGAAGAGTGGTCGGACGTACCATCCGCAGCACCAATTGGCCACGATGTTCACCCAGGATATCTGGGTACGGCCCTCCTCCTGCCTCTTGCTCTCCTCCTGCTCCGACGCATCCTCTTTCGTTGGCTCTTCCTCCTCTCTCGTCATCACCAGCACCACCGGCCCCGCCTCTCTTCGCTGTTTGCGAGAGAACCGTTAGCACGTTTTTACTGACGCATGCACGTAGTGGGCGAGGAGAGCTGACCAGTTTCGGCAAGGGAGGCAGTGGTGCCCCCTTCTTCCATCGCAGGTCTTCTGTGGCGCTTCGTATCTGATGAGAGAGGGAGTGAGAGATAGATGAGTGCGCACGACAAGCAGAACAACTTCAAGGCGATAGTGGCAAGTGCAGTAAAGCAGCAAAAGCACAAAAAGAGAAGAGGGGGGGACCCACCTCGACGCAGAAGGGTGTGCGAACGTAGCGGCCCTCCTCGCACAAGAACTGCCAGTAGGTTTGGTCCTGCGACGTTAAGCGGCCCACCTTCCGCTGCATCGTTTGGACACGCGTGGGCGTGGGCGTGAGCCACACAGAAGAGGGGAGGAAAAGCCATTGTGGGGGGGGGGGCATACGCGTCGGACATAGTCATAGTAGTGATAAACTGCAGACAGCTATCGGCAAACAGCCTCACACGTTAAAGAGTGGCACGCAGGAAGGAGAAGAGCAGCAGCGTACAGAAATGGAACCACATCCTTGGCTGCTGCTGGCGTCTGTGGCGCTGCGCAAAATATAAATAAATAATAATGGCCAAAAGAAATGCCCCTCGCTGAAAAAGGGCTGTGGCCGCTGAGGCCGTGGGAAGAGAACACCGAAGCAGACGAATTGGCTGGCGAAGGCGGGCACACGCTGAACGCGAAGGTATAGACAATCAGTTTGCTGTACAAGTGACCCTCAGGCGGCTTCGTCTTCCTCCTCCTCCCCACTATCTTTCTCGTCATCCTCTTCTTGGGGTGCCGGTGATGGTTGGTCATGATCAGATGAGCCCTTCTCCTCCTCTTCCTGCTCCTCGTGTGTCCATTCCGCCTCCCGCTCCTCGAGCCACCGGCGCTGGTTCTCGCGCTCCACGTCCTTGGGGTCCAGCTGCCACTCGATCGGCTTCTTGGACTCCCCCGTCAGCGTCCTTTGCCTGCACGTCACCACCGCGAGGGCCTCCATCAGCACCGCCATGGTGGCTGGCAAGGCTGATGGCGAGGAGGAAGGGAAGGTACTTGAGGAGGTTGTTGGCGGTGGAGAAGTGTTTGTTTCCGAAAAAGTTGTGCGCGGCGAACGGCGACGGATGAGCGGAGGTGAGCACGTGGTGCTTCCTCTTGCTGATGATCTTGCCTGTCCACATGTGGGCCATACGGCATGTCGTAGGTGGGTGAAGAAGGCCTAGGTCTCGCCACAGAGCGGAGCAGATTGGTGTGTGGGTGATGGTGGCGCACCTTTGTCCTGTGCGTACTTGCCCCACAGCATAAAGACTACGCCCTCCCGCTTGTCGTTGACGGCCTTGATGATGGCGTCCGTGAAGCGTTCCCATCCCTTGTCCTTGTGCGAGTTGGGCTTGCGCGCTTCGACCGTGAGCACCGCGTTCAGCAGCAGCACTCCCTGACGTGCCCATTTCTGCGTGTGCGTGTCTGTCAGCGTCAAGCCGAAAGGTGCTCCTGAGCGCACAAAAGCAGGCAGCAACGCACCTCCAGGTTGCCATGATCCGGCTTGGTAAAATCAACCTCGGGATCGTTCTCGAGCTCTGGCGAAGAGAACGTGCAGCACGACATGTGAGCTTGGAGCAGACAGCGCAATGTTGAGACCAGTGAGCGGGTATGACCGACTCCACCCGGGTGCATACCCTTGAAGATGTTCTTGAGGGAGGGCGGCGGGGTAACCCCCAGGGCAACCGAGAACGCGAGACCGTGTGCCTGGCCTGGCCCGTGGTACCTAAACACCTCGTGCACGGGTGGGTACGTCAGCTGCACGAGCTTGGTGCAGGCGGTTGGGGAAGACGCAGGGGAAAAGAGAGTAGACTTAGGGACGTACGGGTCCTGGCCGAGGATGACGACCTTGACCTCATCGAAGGGGCACAGGTTGAGCTGGCTGAAGACGTGCTCTGGCGGCGGATAGATCGTCTTCGTCTGCCTCTCCTGCTCCAGAAACTTGGCCAGCTGAACGAAGTAGCCCTCCTTCTCGATCACGCACGCACGCACAACACAACACACAACACACACAGTGGTGAGCAGGGCGAGGAGGCCTCGGGCTTCGCTCGTCGTTGGCGGGACGCACTGTGAACTCGTTGGCGAGGACGCGACGCCAGGCGGGCTCGTGCAGGCCGGCGATGAGGTGCTTGACCTGCGGCTGCAGCTCGGTCGGCTGTGCACAGCGAGGGTGAAAGTGAGCGGCCCGGTGTGGCCACAGAGAGTAGAGCCGCGCGGAGGGAGAGGGCGTACGCGGGTCTGCTTCTTGGGCGGCTCGGCAGTCGATGGAGACGACAGTTCGCCAGAGGAGAAGGAAGAGGGCAGCTTCCTTTTCGCAGGAGAAGAGGCGGAAGATGTGGTTGAAGATGACGAAGGAGCAGCATCGGAGGAAGGTGAAGAGGAGCTGCTGCCGCGGCTTCCGAAGAAGGCAAGGAGCGATGCCTGTTTCTTTTGTGGGGTGGACATGTTGCAGTGCCAAAGGCCTGTAGTGGAGTTCCTGGGCGTGATGATTAGGCCTAATCGATGGCTGGTGCCCGCACTCGTTGAAATGAACTTGCTGGCGATCAGCAGATGCGAAGTGGGACGTGCGCAGTGAACAGAGAGCGGGAGTGAGCCAAAGCTGGTTCGTTGCGTAACCCCCAACGTCCTCGCTCGCATCCAGCTTCCTGGTGTATTTATTTTTAACGGTAGAATGTTGTGAATTTCGAAGAAAACAATTCTGAATAGATGAATAAAAACAACATTTTATAAAATGGAGCGAGAGGGTCGTGCATTCACGCCAACGTTGGCAAATCTGGTGGCCAAGCTGAAGAACAAGGATGCAGACATTGAGCGCCGCATACTCAACGTCTACTTGTGGTACGCCCCCCCCCCAACAACTTCGTCCGCCACACCGCCTCATTAGAGAGGTGCAAAAGGGGCTCGCGTGTTTACGGACTGGCAAACGAGAACTCGGACTACGACTTCCTGGTGGTGACCACGCACGAAGACGAGCCCACCACTTGGAACAAGGCGTACGTCATCATTGTCATCAGCACCCACCCCGCAGCTCAGCTACCGACAACGTGTGGTGTGGCAGAACGCACGACATGAACTTCCCGGGCTACGACGATGACGACGTCAACGTGTCCCTCGTCAGCGCACACTACTGGAGACGCATCGTAACTATCCCTCTGTATCACAGTGTGTCGTGTGTCGTGCGTGTGCGGTGGTGTCGTGTGCGTGCGTTTCACCAATGCATTGGGTGGTGGCCTGTAGCTGCTGGAGCACCGACACGAAGCACTCCAGTGTTACTTCCTCCCGCCACAGTTTGTACGCCACCTCCCCCGCGCCGCCGCCCCACTAAGTGCCGCCGCCACTCCTCTGATGCACGCTCTTCGTGGCCGCACTCGTGCTTGGTCGATGGTCGTGGTGGTGTGGTCGTTGTCGTTGTCGTGGTCTGTCGGGGGTCGAGTAGAAGCTAAAGGAGGAGCTGGTGGTGGCATTCGAGGTGGACGAGGACGTGCTCCGGCGTACCGTCATGTTCGCCTCCCGGCAGCGCTTCAGGTATCACCGCCTCTCGAGCCAGCTCTCTCCCCTCTGTGAGCTCCCCTCCCCATCAATCAACTCCCTCCTGCCTATGGCCAGCATAGCACAGTGGCACTGGGAGAGTCCGGCCGAGATCTACCGACGCAAGAAGGACATCGTGCACGCCATCCGCTACCTCCTGTTCGCCCACCAGATCCTGCTGCACGGCAAGGCACGGCCCACATCAAATTGAAGTCTCACACATGAACTGCTGAGCTCACATGAGTGCGGGGACACGTGTGTGTGTCGGTGTGTGTGTGTGTGTGTGTGTGTGTGTGTGTGGCTTTTTATGTGCGTGCGTGCGTGCGTGCGTGCAGATCACGGACTACAGCGCGGCAAATGAGTACTACCACCGCATCATGGCCGAGCCGAACGTGAAGGCCCAGGTGGACTTCGAGTACTACCGCAACGAGAAGGAGCGCATCGCCAAAGCCTTCAAGGTCCGCACACGCATACGCGCACCACCGCACACGCATACACGCTCAAATGTCGGCT